AGGCTGTTGTGCATGGAGGTATGAACGTCTTATTATATTACGTCTAATATTATGTAATAGTAGTCCCTTTGGAATTAGCTGGTTTTCTGCATGATTTGGTCATTAAAGTCAAAAGTTTAGACGAGCAATACACACAAACACTCTAATAAAACACAAAACAGTTATATATGTGTATTTGTATTTTATAATAATATTTCATATCTTTGAACACATCCCACTAAACATTTTAATACACAATAGGGATAAGTTTTGAGTAGGGTTGGAGTTACACTCTGAAGCACCCTGGACCTCCAGGAACTGAGTGTTTACTATTTTTTTCCCCCCTATATTTCAGATTTCAGATTTCACAGATGTGGACTGGGCTGCAGACCAACCCAACATTTCCACTGTCTCTACTGTACAGCCACAATTCTAAGGAGAGAGGTTTTTCATTCTCATTTAGAAATCTGTAAATCAAAGCAGCGTAAAATGCTGTCAACCACTAGTGCAAAATGTACTGTCCCTAGGGTCGCGACCGTGCCGGCGACGACAACTGGGACCCCATCAGCCACCAGCACAGTTTGCAACATGCCAGGCAGGGTTCGTGCACGGCCTGTTATTAAACAGAAATGCCCACTGTGCAGTACCCTCATGAATAAAAAAAATTTTAAGAAACATATTGACCGTAAACACACAAATCAACCAATTCAGGACATTAATGCCAGATTCCACCTTGCAAGTCAGTGTGTGGACAAATCAAATGGCATGTTCACCGTGCTTAATGTTGCAAGAGGTCAGAGTACTCCTCTTCATGTCCAATACAAAACATGGGGAGAACAACAAAAAGTCTGCTGCGAATCAAACGAATGCCAAGTAAACATGGAAGTAGCACAGAGGAGTGGTCTGTTATCCTATCAGTGTGTGCATGTCAGATCTGTAAGTTACTGCACATCCTCAGCTGAAGCAGTCTCTCTAAAGGAAGATGTTTTAACAGAAATGGTGAGAGCAAAGTGGTTTGGTGACGAGAAGAAAAACATATGCCTTGCTCGTCAACAGCTTGCCATTTCTAGCAGTGCACCACTTTCTGTAGAAACCTCAACTGGCAGCCCTCAAACAAAAAAGTTCATTTCTGTTTTTGAGCCAAATGTGTCCTATTATAGCCGTTTGGGGCGTGTCATTGTTGTTTACAACACCAAATTAAACACATGGCACTGCCCCTGTTCCAAAGTGTGCCGTTCGTGTCCGCATAAGTACATTGCGAAATGGCATCTATTTCAAACAGACCGTGAGCTTTTCCGTACTGTCTTCAGCAGAGAAGAATCACCACCCCAAAAGGCACATACACATTCAGAGGAGAGCAATGTCACAGAAGACCATCCTTTGTATCCTCCACATGATCTGCGACTTAAACAAATGGTGCAGTATATTCTACAGCACAAGAAGATACCTGCTGTCCTACCAGACAACATACGTGCACCATCACCAGGCAAAGAATACCCAAAATATCTTTGTCCTGAAGAAACCATGTGTCAGAGATGCCCAGGTGTTGTCCCCCTCAGTGACCCTATTCTGATTACAAAGAGGGCTAAAATACTCTCCAACTGGGGCATTGTTGAAGGTAGGATGGTGTTATTAATATGCATATGTGCTATGCAATTACACTGTCCTCTAATGCAATACTTGTTTTGAATCATAGATGTATTAACCTACTGTAAGCAGTGCCCACTGTGTGGAATGTTTTATCGCTACCAAGAGTGGAAAGACCAACTCCACAACTTTAACGACCACATCCTCCTTGACATACATTTATGCCTAACCTTAAGAAACCTTCTACGGGTAACGTTCAATGTATGAATGTCTTCGGTAAGAACAGTACTTTTCAATGTGTACATAGATTTTTTTTTTTTTTATAACTTTTTTTTTTTTTTTTTTTTTACAGGTCCATACTGCTGTAAGCAGAGCAGTTGAGTTTTTAGAAGATCAGACAGGTGTGAAGTTTCCACCAGCAGACACAGTGCTTCATGCGTACTTGCACTTTGAGGCCCTTACAGATCACGAATACAAGTATACTTGCATTACTTGTGGTGATCACACCCCTGTGGTGATTATGGATTTACACAAAAAAGGTGTTTTCCATTTATCAGGTATGACTACTGTGATACTCCACTTGCTAATTGTGTTTACATTAACATTTATGTATTTGGCAGGCACTTTTATCCAAAGCGACTTACATTGCATTTTTTTATCTGTTCATTGTAATTTGACTTTTTTTTTTTAAATAGTTTATAATGAACTATTTTTTCACTCTTTAGTAAGTGACATCCAGGGTCCTGCAGAGAATTTTGACGGGGATGTCAACCTGGAAAAGTTTTGGGAGGCCATGTCCTGTGATATGATTGGTCGTGGATTTGTTGCAAGTATGAACATAGTGCTTTGTACATCATTGGAAAGCAAAAGGCAACATAATACAATGCTTTTTTTTTTTTTTTTTTTAGGTGGTAGACACAATCCATGTGCGGTGTCACCATCATACCATTTTTGGGCCCCTTGGATAGGGAAGCACACACGGAATTCAGACTCTGTACTAAACACAGAGTTCGAAAAGATTCATGTTTCGAAGTCTATCTGAAATTTCTGAAATTACGGTTACAGAGGACAGACTCAGAGAAGAACTATACAAACAAAAGGTAGGGTTTGTTAGTAAAAACACTATTTTTAATATTACCTTGTTAACAAGACTATATATTTTGTTAGGTTGGGGTCATTAGGAAGTTATGTAAAGAATGTGGTTTGGACTCCAAAGGATCCCACAATGATCTTCTTCTGAGGTTGTCAAATGAAATGAAATCCAGACAAACGTATGACAAAATCTTTGACAAAATCTGGGGGCCTCTGGTAAGCTTAAGTTGTCTTGCACAATGTTTTCATTGCAATCTAGTTAATGTGTAGTTAGAAACAAAACAAACTAAATTATACTTACTCGTTGGATGTAATTAATATCCTGTTTTTTAGGAGGCTGGGCAGTGATCATGTGCCCATGTGGAATTGTTTACAGTATCAAATGCAATCTGCGAGCTGAGAGCCCTCGAGACTTTGCAGACTTACTTTTATCCTGGAAGCATATGCCAAATGTCATAATTTATGACTTTGCATGGGGTCTTGCAACGCACTTGATTTTAAGGGCATCAGAAAAAGTACCCATTGCTCCATTTGAAGGTCGCTTAGCAGAACCCACTCAATCCAACATAGAATTGGCCAAATATGGACAGCTTAAAGTATCACTACCTTGGCTGAACACTAAAAAGACAGTGCCAGACCTTAATGGTCACCCAGTGACGGGTTCATCGGATCACTATGTGCTGTATGATCGGTTTCATGAAGCAAATACAAAAGACAGCAAAGATGTGTTGAGGAAGCTCACTCTAGTACCTCAGTTGGCTGGGAAAGTGAACAGCCAGGTTGCAGAGCAACTCTTTGCAAAGATGAAAAAAAACAACTACTTTTTGAACATGTCTTTGCCATCAACGGATCTCTTTCAAATGAGGAACATAATTCATCACTATAATGAAAAGAAAAACAACAAAAGGCTGGAAGGATTAAAGAAGACTTTTGGGGCCACAATGGTGACAAATGTGTATGGACAAGCTGTGTGTGGTAAGTTTGCCTTGTGTTTTATATCATATTAACCTACCAAAATTTGTGGAAAGACTTTAAACAATACTATGTTATAATATTGCAATGTCCACTAACCACTGATGAATTCAGTTCAGTACAGTTCAGTTCAATACCCATTTAACTTTCTTAAACAGGTAATCCATGCTACTCCCCTGAGGAACCAAGTGGGACTGAAGTTGTGATGGAGCACAGTACCCCGACTGTTACAATGGTTACAACTGGTGGTGAGTGTTTTCGTTCGGGGGTTAAATGAGGGTGGTAACACATTGGTTAAATTATATGGTTTTTATTTTATGTTGTGTATCATTTATTTTCAAAATGTCTATGCTGCAACAGGAAATCGTATGGTTTGTGACATTAAACACTTGTCTGCCAGTAGAAGTTGTTGGGATTTCCAGCCAAGTGATAGGCAGACATCAATGGTAATATTGCTTGTGTTTTTATAACACTTTTCATAACACATTTTGAATGTAATTTTGGTCTCTTTATCTTTATCTGTGGTAAAGCTTGACCAGGTTTTGAGTAAAAATGACCCAAATGAGAAAATTGCTCAAGTTGGAAGAATTACACTGCAGCGAAAAGATTTCCGGACCTTGGGACTCAGTGCAGAGCTTGAGGCAACAGTAAGTGGACACGCAGTGATTTTTAAAAATAGAAAAGTGACCGTACAACAGATATATTAAAAAATAAAAATAAATTTTTTTAACAGATTGCAAACAGCTGTCTTGATGTAATCGTAATGGCGGCTAAGGAAAAGGTATTTTTCCCTACAACTACAACTTATGATCGCCTGGAGACATAACTGTCTTTTGTAACGGATGTGCAATTGAATGCTGTGCTTAGGGAATGGATGTGTTGGCAGCAAATTCCTACGTTGTAGTTACCTGGCTACCACCACTTGATTTGGACCCGTTTGTATCATTTCTGGTAAGTCAGTAAAGTTGTCTTTTATCTAAAACTGGAACCGTTATAAATGCAGTTACAACAAATGACTCAATCATGTTTCCTCCAGGATGACATAGCGTCCAAGGATTATGTTCTGCTACCTGCTTGGAAGCCAGGACACTGGATGCTATGTGTATGTTGTTTCCTTAATTTGTTAAAAAAAAAATCAATATAATGCTGCATAATCTTCCACAAATTGCATTAATTTCTAATTAAAATGATTATTAAGATTAAATTTAAAGTGATATTAGGATTAAATATACTAACAACTGTATTTCACAGGTTCTGAAGCCTAAAAACAAGGCTATGTACTTTTTTGATTCAAATCATCCCTACGGGATTGGTGATTCACGATATGTGAATGTCTTCAGGTTGCACTTACACATAGATATTATGTTCAGAGTTCGCAGTTCAAGGTTTGCTGTTCGAAGTTCACTGTTCCAAAGTTCTCTGTTCATTGCTGTTTGTTCTCAGCATGATGTTCTGCATGTTTTGTTTATATTCTGAATTTGAAATGTTGTTTTTGCAATGTAGTCAGTGGTCATTTTTGCTTTGGAACAAAGAAACTTGGCTCCTTTGTCCAATTTTTATGGTTATAATATATTAAAATAGTTATTCGATTTTGTTGCAGTAAATTGACAAGCAGACTTGCTTCAGGATCATGGAAGCTGACAGGTTTTCAAAAAACACAAGTTATTTATAACAACACAATCTATATATGTTTGTCACATTCGTTCCAGGAATAACTTAATGATATTCCATTGTTTTAGAATGTTCCAAAACAGTTGGCCGGCTCCGTTGACTGTGGGATCTTCATGTTGATGGTGAGGAAAAATGGAAAGTTTAAAAAAAAAATCTTTAAATATATGAATGTTTTTTTCATAAGAATGAAAACATGAAATGGTTGCCTGAACTTGATTGATGTCGTTTTTCAGTATGCTCTGTACATGGTCTTTGAGGCACCCTTTGATTTTACAGCTGTAAGTCTTTGTATAAAAAGATCTATTGACTATATAATATAATCTATAAACTTGTTGATCTATTAACACTTTTTTTTTTTTTTCCCATATGCAAGTCTGATTTTCCCCTCATTCGAAAATGGTGGTGCCTTATTCTGATGGAGAATTTTGCCATTGAAAGGTCTCTCTCTCTCTCTCTCTGAAAGTTTTTTTTGTACATGTGTCTATACAATGTCAACAAATTAATTTGTTGCAGGAAACATGCTGCTGTTGATGTGCAGGTGCCACTTGAACAACACGACACTGAAATCGCCGACATGGTATGTTTTTGTCTCAAACAGGGGCACATGACAAAAACAGAATGTCAAAACTTTAATTTACATGCTACATCCTGATTAAAACACAAGGTATTATTGAGGACACTTCCAATCTGCCCAGGGACAACAGATGAAAATTAGCTAGCATCTAAATCTGATGCAAACCATCTCTTCTCTTGTGAGAAGTTTATTTAAATTAATTAAATATTTCATCCCTTTTTTTGTACTATTCTCTCATGAAGGAGCCATGGATAGTAAAAGACCTCTTGACCATATATATATATATATATATATATATATAAAATTGCATGTTATGTCTTTTCAATTCAATCGTTTTAATAAAATTCTTCATAACGTTGCTTTAAACTTTGAAACTGTCCAAAACACGGAAGTAGCGGAACGCCTAGTAAGGCAACACTTGCTCCGCCCACTTCCGGCCTCAGATTGTTAGTCTGGCGCTGTTGTCCTCAGACTGTCATGACGTATGGTTCTGCGGTTCTGGGTGTGCTTTCTCAGTCACACCCGGCAGGTATATTACCTGACATTAGCAATGGCCTACAGCAGCTTTAACTCACGCTGAAGATCTGCGAAAGCCTCTGAGAACTGAGCTGTTCCTCTGACTGAACTTGATCCTCCACGCGGACAGACGCATCTTCGTCATCCCACAGAACTGAGTCATGTTCTGCAACAACATCAGCACAGTCATCCTGACCAGATCTTACACTAACGCTGAATCTGAAAGGGCTATAGAGACTAATATGTGCATTATATTGTACTGCTCTCGCATCTATAGATTGTATAATAGATACGAACCGCAGCGGCTCTCAGGAGCGCGAGCGGCAGGTGAAGCAGGTGCGAGCTCTGATCCACATCCATTCACTCGAACCTCTCCGAACACAACACAGTCCGCTCGGTAACGAACCAGCGTTTCAGAGGGTCAGAAATCACTTTCGTTTTCCTCACTTCCACTTTCCGCATCAGAGCAGATCTGAGATCAGTCACGTTCCGCCCATATTAACGCTGAACAGCAGGGGACTACATTTCCAGGACGTTTAAAAGTTTAGAGGACACTTTTGTATCAAAGTCTGAATCTTTTAATAGTTGCCACGGTCCACGGATACAGAAATAGCAAAGATTAAAAACTAAATTTTCCACAAACCACAGTCACTCTAGCATTGTTATCATAAAAGTATAATTATTAGGCCTAAAACTATATATACATGCAAATGTGGCTTTTTAGCGGCTCGGGGCTCGTCATGGCTCATGAATATTAATTACGTAACGTGCCTGTGGCCACACCCGATTCGCGTTAAGCGCATGCGCATTCACCGTCACAGCAGCAGGATGGACGCATCTGTTTTCTAATAAAACATTTTGCGTTGCTCACCTTCTGCACGCGGCTTTCCCTGGAGCTTCAGTGAAGAAGCTTGTGATCTGGCGCGTCCCAGTGTTCGCGGCAGCATCTGAGACCAGAGCAGAACCGGTTCGTCTGGGTTTCTCCGAGGTTACCGGGCTCTCCGGACACTCCTGCTTCCGTGAGTTCTGCTCGGACCCCGCAGGTTCGGCATGCTGATGCTGATGCTGATGAGAGCTTCTCTGGGCCACCACGGGCTTCAGCAGCCAGTCATCCAGAGTCCGGCTGCATCTGGGGTCTCTCATCGGTCGCTTCTTCTGGAGTTTAGATGAATCCGAGCACGGAGCAGCTGTTTTCTGCGGGTTTTCTGCATCTTCAGTCCTGTTTAATAGAAATGATATGATCAAACGCCAGTAGTTTCAACATACTCAATAAAACCGTCTTTCAAACTGAGCCTAGCTCCGGATCGGGGTGATCTTACCCGTGACGCGGGGATTCGGACCCCAGCAGCCTCGCGCTCTTCCCGAGCGGCTCACAGTCCGACATCACGCTCTCCACTCAGTCTCAGTGATGAAGATCGCGTTTATGAACGTACAACAGATGATAACGCTGTAAAACGACGATCACGTGTTCACGTTACTGGATCTAACTCCCAGTTAAAGCGCTTCACACTTCCTGTTTTCAAGACGTAAAACTCCAGTAGCCAATGAGCGGTCGGTATTCGGCGAGTGGGCGGGGTCTGCGGTTCGTCAGAAGCGCGTGACGTCGGATTTTAAAGGGGTGGTTGACTGGGTTTTTTCTAGGCTTGATTGTGTTTATGGGGTGCAGTCTAACATGTGTTCATGCTTCGTTTTTTTAAAAACGCATTATTTTTCACATAATTTACCTTTATTCCACACCGATCTGTCCCTTCTCTAACAAACGCCTCGATTATTTCCTGTTTTTATGAAGCCCCTCCCTCAGAAATACGCGATGGGCTGAGATTGGTCAGCTGGCTCAGTGTGTTGTGATTGGCTAAACCGCCTCTACAGCGCGTCTGAACATCCCGCCCCTCAAGGTCAGCATGTGCTTCGGTTGTATTGTAAACAATGACGTCCTCTATATTGCTTATCAATCTGAGCCCGATTGAGACGCAGAGAATATTAATGAAGAGGATCGCGCAGAACCTGTGCAAGCACTGCTCTTAATGGTATGTTTGTTTGTTGTTGTCCCATACTTTTAGATACGCTGTTGTTTGTAAATGCTACTGCTTCTGTTAGCTTTTAATATATGGTTTTATTCTGATTAAAGCTTTAATACAGCACAGCAATCGTACGCACGTCCATGTATAACGCTTCTCATAGCTATGTGAAAATAAGTGTATAAATGGAACAGTTTGTTGGAGCTGATCTGACGATCTGAATGAGAGAGAGAGAGACAGATGCAGAGCATGTGCAGAGCAGGGGAACGCGAGGAGGAACAGAATTGAGAACCTGCTGCTTTTGAACATTGATTTTGAAACTTGTGAATCCATTAGAATCGTTAGAAGACAGAATCGTGATTCATATATGAACAGATTTTTACATGCACCTCTAGTACCCCGAGCATGGCCCCTTTGCTGCGTGTTCCGGAGGCGGGGTTTATCTGGGTTTGTGACGTAACGGACCTGGGAAGTAGCTCGTTGTAGTCCCTATCAGTCGTTTTTGTAGGCATTAAACTGCCACAATTTTAAAAGACGATATCGCCGTTTGCATTGAACTTTCAGCGCTGCAACTTTGCAGATATTGTTTATGCTCCAACAGCAACATTACACACTAACTAACGTTAAAAAAGTGAAATCGCAATCAACCACCCCTTTAAGTATGCCAATAGTATATTTTCAAATACAAATAAAAAGTAAGAATGAGAAAGAGACCCCTAAGAACATTATTGCACAGCAGGATTTAGATCAGACTTCTCCATCGAGGTTACACATATATACTGATGGTTCTAAAGACCCTATCTCTGGCAGAACAGCTGCTGCAGTGTTTATTCCACAGTTTCAAACTAGTATTAAGAAAATAATATCTGATCATACAGCAGAATTAATGGCCTTGGTGGTAGCACTGCAGTGGGTAGAGGAAGCAAAACCAAGTTTAGTGGTAATATGTTCTGACTCTTATGCAGCAATACTGAGCCTCGCACGTGGAGTAAAATCATCACGGCAAGACATTATATACGAGATTATATATTATATACGAGATTCTTGCAAGTTAGTTAAGGATTCCCGCTCATGTGGGAGTGGAGGCTAATGAAGTGGCTGATAAACAAGCTCTTAAACACAAACAGATATTCAAGTGATTTAGCAAAAATGAGGGTAAAGGGAAAATTAAAGAATTCATAACAAAAATTGGCAAGAAGTATGGGACTGTGACAGCAAGAGCAGACGTGTGTGTAATACTCAGCAGCAAGTATGAAATGGAAGTGTTTTTAGGAGTAGGAAAGAAGATAGTTATTTCTGGCATCTGAACAGAGCATACCAGATTAAATCTCTGTTTATTACAGGACAGCATGAGACAGGTCCATGTATTCTTTGTAATCAGGCAGAAACAGAGCATCTTTTAATAAAATGTAAAAAATATGAAAAGGAAAGGTTAAAACTCATTAAGGAAGTAAGAAACGTGAGTGTTGAATCATTTAATTTGTCAAGGCTTTTGAAAGAGCATGCAGAGCAAGGTCAAGTATATGCTGCTATTATAAAATACATTAAAAAATAGGGTTAATCAGGAAAAAAAAATTGTATGTATGTGTGTGTGTGTGTGTGTGTGTGTGTGTGTGTGTGTACATTTATTTATATATATATATATATATATAAGTTGCTTATTGGTGCTCCAGTCCAGTTGTTGGCGGTAAAAGAAGTTGGTTTGCCATCCGCCATAAAACGTTATTAGAAGAAGAAGAAGTGCGTGACGTCACTGCAACACACAAGAGACCGTAAAACATATTTTATTAGATTGTAAAAGGTATGAAGAATTTTGAAAAAAAAAATTGTACACTTTTAGGCTACAAAACTGTCTCAGTTTTCTGGAAAACTGTTGTTGCTCATTATTATTTACTTACTTAAAGTTTTTTTGATTCTGTATTACAAGCAAAGCTATTGTATATATAAACACATTCAATAAACAGCAGGTTACTTCAAATTCATGCCATTTTTTTAAACAGATTTTACGCCAATCCATGACTGCATGTGTTTGACTCCGCAACTGTAGATGTCGCTGTGAGTAAAAGCAACGGGAAGATTTACTGCAGAGGAAACTTATTAAAAAAAAAAAGATTTATAAATCAATCCATTAAAGAAACTATTCATATTTACAGATGGATCAAAGCAGCCAGAGACAGGCCGTACTGGGGCTGCTTTCTCCATTTCGCATTATGAAATAGCAGTTAAAAAAAGAACAGCAGATCATTTATCGGTGTACACAGTAGAGCTTTTAGCAATTTTATTGGCATTACAATGGTTGGAAGGAAATAAACAGAATCAAAATGTAATCATAGCTTCTGACAGCTTATCTGCTCTATCTAGTATTCAGTCTGGGAAAACATCATGTAGACAAGATATCATATACCAGATATTCAACTTGCTTTTAATACTGTATGATAAAGGGCTGGATGTTTCCTTCCTTTGGGTTCCTGCTCATGTAGGGGTGGAAGGAAATGAGATTGTAGATATTCTGGCAAGAGGAGCAATAAAGCATGAAACAGTTGATATACAAATACCGTTATGTAGAACAGAAATCAAAACCATTATTAAGGGACATACAAACAAAATATGGCAAGAATACTGGGACATAACTGATACTGGACGACATCTGTATAACATACAAAAACAAGTAGGCTTAAATAGTATTAGGCAGAGCAGGAATCCAAAGGAAGGAAAGATAATTACACGTCTTAGAATAGGTCATGCTGGTTTGAACTTTACATTACAGAGAATAGGAAAACACCCCACTGGTCTTTGCAACCACTGCAACACACAAGAGACAGTAAAACATATTTTATTAGATTGTAAAAGGTATGAAGAAGAAAGAAGGGAGTTAGAAACACAAGTTGGAAAACAAAACATGACAGTGGGATATCTGCCAGGAAAAACAATGTCTAGGGAAATACATAGTCTCCTAATGAATTATTTGAAAAATACTGGGATAAGTGAAATAATTTAATAGAAATATATAGGGGGGGAAATATTTATATATATATATATATGTTAATTTTAGTTTTTTTTATATTTTGTTTCTCTCCTTGTCCTTTCTTTCAAAGTACTGCCTACACTCGTCCAGTAGGTGGCGGTAAATGCACATTTAAGTTGGTTTGCCAGCCGCCAATAAAATTAAAAGAAGAAGAAGAAGTGCGTGACGGCGGCTGAGCGCGGTCTGTCTCCGTATGTCTCCCGCCGCTGCGTGTCTCGGTGTTCTGTGCGGGTTACCGGCGGCCGGTAAATCCCGTCTGGCTCGGGAGCTGCGGGGCACACAGACGCGCGGTTGGAGGACGCTGCTCGTGACGTATGACGAACTGATACCAGCGCGCGACTGGCAGGAGGTTTGTCTTTGAGAGAGAGAGAGAGAGAGAGAGAGTGTGTGAGTGTGTGTGTGTACACTTATTGTAACTGAACCCGACAGCCAGTGGGCACTATGCCTGAAAAACAGCAGATTTGACATTTTGTTAATAAGTTGATTTCAATGTGATAAAATATCATCCCGCATAATGCATACCGATTATAAAATCAGGCTTTTTGTTCCATCAGAGGCAGTGAGTTCAGCAGAATATGAATGCGAATCATTGATTTGTTGGCTGGCAGATCTTTTGTTCTCAGCAGCGCTAAAGCACGTTCTGATACTGCTGTAGGTATGAGCTTCAGTGTTTGTGAACGCTGGGATTGGTCTGTTGATCTGAGCATATCAATATTGGCAAAAAACTGGCACGAGGAGGCTTTATGACCACATGATCAGTAATAATTGTTCCTGAATCGCTCTGTTAGGGTTAGTTCACACAGATCGTGTTCTTGTGTTCAAAAACAGCTAGCAAAGGAACGAAACAGAAGTTGAACTGTTTTCATATGATATCTCTTGCAACATTTTTTAATATTGCGTCGATACCTGTGTTCTGTTCTGTTTGTGTGAACGGCCCCTTACACACTGCCTGCCTTTAATCTACAGCACTTGTGTGTTTTGTTGTATTGTGTGTTGTTTTGTTTTTCAGTGTGAATGGAAGCAGCACAGGAAGACGGTTCTGATGTGTCTGGAGAGATTCCTTCATCAGACTCTCTCCGATCAGACTCACACGCTCTCTGATCAGACTCAGACTCACACGCTCTCCGATCAGACTCACACGCTCTCCGATCAGACTCGCACGCTCTCCGATCAGACTCAGACTCTCACGCTCTCTGATCAGACTCAGACTCTCACTCTCTCTGAGGCTGATGGAGTCTGGATGCGGTTTGAGCAGATGCGGCAGCAGCAGAGCGTCTCTCACACACACTCGCAGCCGCTCGTGGTTCTGCTGGACGATAACTTCTACTACCAGAGCATGAGATACCAGATCCAGCAGCTGGCCAGGAAGTGTAGGTGCAGTTTCTGTGTTTCTGAGAGCTGAATCATGTAAACACAGTTCAAGCGCTGATGTTCTGATGGTGTTTGTTCTGGAGGACAGACGGCGTGGGTTTCTGTCAGGTGTTTCTCCAGTGTCCGCTGCACGTGTGTCTCCAGAGGAACCGGTGCAGATCTCAGCCTGTTCCTGATGACGTTCTGCTGCAGATGTGTGAGCGAATGGAGCCTCCGAACGAGATCAGAAACCCCTGGGAGCAGCAGAGCCTGACGCTAGACAGCACAGATGGCATCGCAGACGGACACGTGTAGGTCAAACACGCGCAGATACATCCATCTGACCTGCTGATGTGACCTTTGTGGTGTTTTTCTGCAGCTCAGATGATGTTTGAATCTTTCTGTTAGTAAATTCATTCCTCTTTCTTTCTCTTGAAGACAGAAGCTGATGGACGTGCTGGCGTCTGCGCTGGAAAACCCATTGAGCCCCGTCCAGGACGAGTCACAGCAGAAGGTCAGGCTTTATTCACATAAATCAGATTCATCGTAACATCTGACCACAGCATTGCTTTGCTGCATTTACACATTCATGCACAAACAGTCACCATTAAACACAGTGAATGATTCAGACACTGCTGTGATCACACAGCGATTTCAGTTCACTTTTATGCTTTGGGTCGGTTTTGTAAAAGCTCTTGTCATATTAAGAAGACGCGTTCCAATGGAGCGGGAGAGAAATGTGATCCGATTGTCCTCTCACTGATCTTGTTTTAGGAGGCTGACAGACGGATTTGTGCGTCCAGCGTTCTTCACCAGGCTGATCAGACGTGCAGACGACTGGTTTCTCAGGCGCTGACATCAGCTCATGGTACAGAGATCAGATGGCGCTTTGAGTTTCTCCTGTTCATGTCACGTTTGCACTGATTTATGCTGGTGTAAGCCACTGTTGTGCTTGGTCTCGTCACAGGCCAGGCGTCTCCAGACGTGCTGAAGGCTCTGGCTAAAGCACTGAATGAGCTGAAGACTGTGTTCCTGCAGGAGCTGAAGAAGGACGTTCTTCATCGCGTCTCAGTTTTCCCAGAGGAGCTGCTGATGGACGTGTCTGCGGCGTTCCAGCGACACTCACACGAGATTGTGTCCAAACACGTGAAACATGACTGATTACTGATAATAAATCAAACTATGGTTAAGTCTTTCTGATGGACTTGTGATTGTGCATAAGATGTCATTTTTTTATATAGTTTCTGCAAATGCATCTGTCCAATGACTGACTGGTTTTCATTTGGAGATTCATCAACAATTTATAATATTGTTTGTTTTTCTTTACAAAGATGGAGATTGCAGTTCTATATATTAAATTAACATTATTAATGAATTGCAGAAATCCATCATTTGTCACCAATGTCAACAAGGTTTCTAAATGTCGAGGTTATTGACAATACTAATGTATGACATCAGTCACGTTCACCATCGCTGATAGACTGATCATTATTAAATTGACATTGAATTATTAGTAACATGAGTTTGCTGGTTCATTTGACTGCGTGTAATATTTGTATATTTTTAACGACGATTTTAAAACACTTATGTTAGCATAAATAAAATAAAAAAACGTAGTTTGAAGCTAAACGTGCATTCAAACAATAAATAATTAGAATAATATTTTTGCTCCAAGAGGCTTCAGCGAGTCAGTATTATTAAATACACTTCTGCACCACTCCATTGACTTCGATGCGTTTTCTTCCAATTTGTGAGAAACACATTCAGAAGAGAAAGAGTGCTGTCAGTGCGATACTAATTAACGGATGTCATTAGAGATGATTACTATAAAAACTGCTTTATTGAGTGCTGTAGCTGTAAAATGAAGTGTTACTCACGCGCACACACACACACACACACACACACACACACTGTTCTGAATCGATTCAGAAGAGACGTCAATTAATGCACGCGTGTCACCTGATCCACAAATGCACGGATTCCTTTTTGCATGAGCAATTTATGATATATTAATGCAGAACAGAACATTTTTATTCACAAACATGTCTGTATTTGTACAAATCGCTGCACAATCATTTAATCCTGAAAGGCATTTGTGGTTAGTAAGATACATGTATAAAATGTATGCAGTACATGGATAATTGTGCGTGCATCTATTAATAATTTTGAGTCTAATATCATCCCATAGGAAAGTGGGTCACGGTTATAAATACGCCATCAGGATGCTGAACGCCGGCCGGATCGGGATCGCAGCACAGGTGTGCTTCAGTTCATGTTTATTTCCACAGCGCTTTATAAAATACAGAAAATAACATTTAAAGTTGATATTGTGAAATTCATCAGTTATGTGACAAATTATATTTCATCTGTAAAACAGGAGACAATAGTGTCATTATTCAGATCCATTCAGTTCATGTTTTGTTCTCATCTGATACTGTCAGTGCATGTGTGGTTGTGTTTCTCTCTGTTTGTGTGTGTGTGTGTGTCTGTTGTGTTCGGTCTCGTTGAGGTCACGTGTGTGTTTCTCTGTTTGTGTGTGTGTGAGAGAGAGAGTGTGTGTGTGTGTGTGTGTGTGTGTGTGTGTGTGTGTGTGTGTGTGTGTGTGTGTGTGTGAGCAGGGCATGCAGCACCAGATCGCTCATGTGGCCACGCAGCTGAAAGTGGCTCGACTGCTGACCTGCAATGCTGCGAAGGAGGCTGGATGGTCCTTCATTAAAGAGGCCTGCATGGCCAAGTACTTCACCGCAGAGGTCAGTCCAGCACACACACCTCATCTGAAAACTGTGCCACGGAAAATGAATTAAAAAAATGTTACTTTTTTCCTCAGAATTCTGAGTTCATGTCTCTCAGTTCAGATTTGTACAAAAAAAGTCTGAATTGTGAGATAAAGAGTCGCAAAGTCACCTTTTTTAATTTGTATTATTCTGTGGCAGAAACGACCTGCGATGCTGTTCTGAGATCAGTGTGTGTTTCAGGTGGCGGCTCTGACCACATCCAAGTGCATCGAGTGGATGGGCGGCGTGGGCTTCTCCAGACTATCCCATCGAGAAGTACTACAGAGACTGTAAGATCGGTGAGTGAAGCACACGCGTGTCATGAAGAAACGCTGCTCTCATCAGAAACGAGTTTGACATTGACAGACTGAACCGTTTCTGCAGGAACCAGCAACATCCAGCTGAGCACCATGGCCAAGACGATCGCCCAGGAATATGACGGATAAACATCTGTGTGTCACATACACCAGAAGAGTAATTGAGCTATTAATGACATGTAAGCTGTAGTTTTCATGTATTAAACATGTTGATGCTCTTTCTCAGCTCGGGGGTCTCCTCTGGTGAGATTCACACAGCGATCGTGTAATAAGACTCTCCGAGTTCTGCAACTGAACTGTGTTGGACTCTTAATGGATCATTTGACAGTTCTCTAGTTATTTGTGTTGTAAGACTGAAATTATATCACAGCAAATGAGTTGAAGTCTGTTTTTCTGAAGTCTTTTCACTTTTAAAATGAAGCTATCGTTAGACTTGGATTATATTCCTGTTAGTTTTTGATGTATTCGGTGTCTTATTGATCGCTGACGGCTGTTGATTTGAGATCGGTCGGGTCTCTGGTGTTTGTGTTTGTGTGGCTGAACCGGAGCTGAATAAACCTCATGAACTGGTCTCGTGTGTGCTGTCTGGTTTGAGCAGCAGAGGGCAGCGCTGGTCTCTTGTGGTCTCTTGTGGTCCAGCAGCGGCTCACCATCAGCTCTGGTGTGAGTTTAATGTAGTTTACTGTAAGGTCTGTGATTTCACTCTCATTACTGCTGCTCAATAAATCCACACAGACCCCGTCTAAAAACAAACTAAATCACTAGTGAAATTATACAGATATTTAGGCAGAAAGACTTAATAACCGAATATTATTCCTAGTAACAAATAGTAAAAACAGTGTTTTATGTCATACTTTGATGTTTATTTCTTTTCCTCCTGATATTTCCTCATGCTTGATCTAAATGACCAGCACTAGTACACTTGTCTCGCAGTGCACTGCACGAGGTTCACTCTTCATGTTTCTGTCGAGTCTGTGATGGAAACACTGAACGCATGCGGAGTCTGACAGCGCTCGCAGCGGAAATATGAACATGTTCATAAAAACAGAAATCTCTTACATACACACACACACACACACTCTCTCTATCTCTCTCTCTCACACACACACATACTCTCTCACACACACACACTCACACTCACTCTCTCACACACACACACA